TTTTAAAACTTAGGATAAGGTAACAATTAAATTCAAGTAATTAAAAAATTTGGATAGAATTTAAAAAAATTAATAATATTTAAAACGAGATAATTATGCTTAAATTAGGGAGTTGTATGCATTAGAATTAGATAATTAAATAGGGATTATTATTATAAGTACGTAGATTATAAAGTTAATTAATGTATAAAGTTTGAAAAGGATTCAAACTCAGCCACCATTAATAATATTTATTAATTAAGGGAAAATTCCAAAAATAAAAAATAAAAAATAATGGTGGGCTGCACTCTCACTCTTCCCTCAGGTGAAAAACTCTTTCTCTCTCCCGATTTTAAATTTCAGTCTACAGATTGACATTTTTTAATGTATATATAGATTTTACGTCGATGTACGATATTTTTATTATACCATAAAAAAATTAATAAAATATAACATAAATATCAACTGTGCAGACAGTGTCAATTTGGTCTCTGAATTTTCAAAATTATAAATTCTTTACATTTATATAAAATAAAAAAAATACTAATTTTTAAAATTTTTTAATTTGTTAAGATTTATAATTTAACGTAGATTAAATTAATCAATTTTAATTATAAACCTTTAATTTTATTAAATTATGTCATACAATTTTAATAATAAAAAATAATAATGGAATAATAAATGTAAGAAATTTAAAAAGTTAAAATGGCCGCCTTCTTTGTTGGATAAAAAGACAGCATTTTTTAATATTTATATTATTAAATTATTAATTAATTGTGTTTGGGTCTCCATACCTTTTTTTATTTTTTTTTATTTTTTTTTAATTCGTTAAAAAAAAAAACTCCCTATAAATTCCTCTCTTCCTCAATTTCACCTTCTTCATCAAACTTTCAAACCTTCTCTTTCTTCCATTTCCATGGCCAAAGTGTACCCTCAATCAGCGCCGTCGCCGTCGCCGTCGCCGTCGTCATCTCCGTCGTCTTCACCGCTCTGTTCCGAAACCGAAACCTTCACGATTTGGATGAAATCTCTGATTTACCACACAAATGGCTGCACCGTCTTCGACTCCAATGGCGACATCGTCTACAGAGTCGATAACTACGACAGGAAATGCAGCCGCGAAGTTTTTCTCATGGATCTCAGAGGAAAAGTTCTCTTCACCATTAGAAAAAAGGTACGCCACATAAAAAGAAATTTGGCGGTTTCTGTGAGTTTTGTTCTCCTGATTTTGATGTTAAATCGTTGAGTTCCGTTCGATTATTCATAGATTTGGTTAAATTTCTGCAGAAATTCTCGTTTCTTCGAGGATGGGAGGGATACCGATGGATCGAATCAGAGAGAAGTATGAACCCTAGCTTTCGTGTGAGGAAATTGTACAGATCCGGATCGCGGAAGAGGAATGAATCGATCTGCGAAATTAGTGTGGGATTCGAGAGGTTTTCATTGGTGAAAATGGACGGAAAACTCGCTTTCAGAATAATCAATATCAACGGAGAAGTAGTTGCAGAGGTGAACAATCTCTTCTCATATCATCGAATCCGACTTCGTTTCGTTTTCATAGAATAATCAGAAATAATTTCCCTACGAATTGTAACTGATTGAAACGATATTGATTGTGTTTGCAGGCGAAACGAAAAGTTTCAAGTAATGGAATTCTGTTGGGAGATGATGTTCTGAGTTTAAATGCAACCTCTCAGATTGAAAGATCTCTGATTATGGCATTGGTGACTGTTTATGGCTTAATCCGTCGCCAAATGTAAATTTTGTTAGTTTATTTTTGAAGTTCATACAAATTTTCCCCTTTCTTTCACAGATTTTGGTTTGTTTCATTTAGGTTTTTGGTTTCTTGTAAAGAATTAATGTAGAAATAGAAGTTACCGAGGAAATACAAATAAATATTTCATTCATAATTTTTTTTTTTTTTTTCTTTTTCTGATTTCATTCGGCCTAAAATTGTTTCATTTTTATTCTTCTAATTTGTCCCAAAATAGCATTTCTTAATTTGTTCTAAAATATCAGCTATACATGTAAAGCCCGCCCACCCACGAATAAGTTCACAAACAACAACAAAAATAAATGTACTAAAAATAAATAAATGTACTAAAAAAAAAATAGACTTGGATTTAACTCTAGTCTCTAGCTCTACCTTGGTCATTCGGGTCTAACTTGTTTCTTCTCTTCATTAAAATGTATTCAAGTTATTTTTCAAGCATGGACGTTGACTCTTTATATGGTTATCTAAATTTTGAACATGTATGTAAGACTTGCTCTCGGTCAAATACAACACGTCTACTGAACTCTTTGACGGCCTGTAAACAACACGTCTACTGAACTCTTTGACGGCCTGTAATGTTACATAATTCAACTGTTAAGAATTTTGAACTCTCTGACGGCCTGTGTCATATAATCCAATGTCAGGAATTCTTCTCATTGTCCCTAACTTAGCACACAATGTGAAAATTTCTGAGGTTTAGTAGATTAACAATACTCATATATAGCGCATAATTAACTCGTTCACATTTATAGCATGTTCACATCTTATGCTTGCATCTATCTATATATATAAAATCAATTAACCACGTCATAAACACATATATTAAATATATTAAACTCTTAATCACATCATCAACAACCTCATGTATATAAACACAAGTCAGGAACTTATTTATTAGTCTCGATATGCTACTTGTTTAATAAGAAATGTTTGGGTTGAAAAACTTTACAATTCGAACAATTGAGTTGTGTCTAAAAAAATGTTTCAATCTGACGGAACTCAACCCACGAACACCAGACTAAAGTATATATTAGTTAAAACATATATTCACGACCAAATTAATAATTTTTGAATCTTTATCCCAATTGTTCAACTAAAAAATAAAAATAATTGCTAATTTTGAATTTATTATTAAATTTAATTAATTATGACCAAAAAAAAAAATCCTCAAACCCAAAACATATTATATACATTTTCAAAATATTTTCAATTTTATATTCTGAAAATTATTTTCCGTTTAAAAATTTTTGAATTAAGAAAAAATATTTTTCACGTGCATTTAGTTATATATACAAAATTAATAATATGAATTTGACTTCGTTATAAAATTACAAAAAGCAACTCGAAATGAAAAAAGAAAGCATATTATATAAAGTAAAGCCAAAGTTAATAATAATAATAATAATTTAATAATAAATAATAATAAGAATTAAGAGAAGTTATCCTTATCTAGGAAGGAGTAATTTAAAAGGCAACTATTTTTTTTAATTAATTTGTGATATTATATAAACTCATTTTCCATATTATAATTAAATTATATATTAAACGCTAATTTAGATCTCTTTTTATTATGATTTTATTTTTTTAGTTGTGATTTAAATATTAATACCAATAAAAATGTTAAAATATTAATTTACGAAAACGTGAATTAAAATATTAATAAAATGTCGGGATATTAGACGAATATTTAATTCAATTATTAATTATGTTATTTAAAATTAGAAGCGTGATGTTAGATTAAACTCAAACATCATCACATAAGAACAATATAATTTAAAGAGTGACAAATCCTATCATCAAACCGTCCCATAATTATTTTATATGAAAATTAAATTAAATTATAAAATTTCAACCAATCCCAAGTCAATGTACCATTCTACATACTTCAAAAAAACATGAATTCAACGTGATACTCATGATTCCACTTCCCAATACTTCTCCCAACCTTTATTTAATAATTTATTATAATTTTTTTTATACGGTTTATGGTGCGTGTAATCGAACTATCGACCTTTCAAGTAGTAATTAGTGCTATGCTCGGGTTGACTATCATTATCTAATCAAATTATAAACTTAGTTTTTAAATTTCATTTACCATTATTTTTAAGCGGGATGTGCGTTTAAAACCTAGATGGTACAATCGTGTCCTTGAGCTCTAAATAACCTAGAGTTGAAATTGGAACTAGAAGCTTACTTCGTTAAAATTGAGAACGTTTTCGAAAAAATGTTGAGCTTAGGAAAATATGTGTATAAATAGTTTCTTTGTTCCTTGAAGAGATGCCCACTGTGCAGGATGAGAATGGAGACAAGGAATATAATCCTATCATGTGTCCATCTCTGTTTAGCCAACACGGAGAAAACTCTCTTTGTTCTTTATTTAAACGAGGATTTTCCACCTTATTTGAAGCGGGTCTTGTGTTTAATTTTGTGGGTTAAATAGATATTTTGAATTAAATTGAGTAAGAAATATGAACGTGAGTGGGATAAGAAGGATGAAAATTATAATCGAAAATACACGATTGAATTAAAAGAAAATTAATTACCTAATTTGTATTGAAATTGATTATTTTATATGGTTTGAGAGAATTTGTCAAATCAATGTATGGGACCTTTAGGACAAAAAGGATAACTTTTTTTTTCTTCTTATAAAAGGTCAACCAAAGCTAGGTCGCCCTTTTGACTTCCTTATTATGAATTCATCTATTATTATTGTTATTAAGATTAGAAAATGGAACTTTAAGTGAAATAAAAAATCGAATTATATCACGGGTGGTTGAGTATTTTTATATATTTATGTTTAGCTTTTCTCTCGATAAAAGTAAAAGGCGCATACATGGTTGACATCGTCTGTTGAGGAGACTACGTAACAAAGCCATAAACAATTTACTCTGCATTTAGTAACATGTAATCAAGTCCTAAATTTTGATACTAAAAATCAATTGAGATAAGTGGTCTTACTGTTAGAACACTTTATTTTTGTTGTTTGATATGTTTTGCATGATTGTTTGTAAAATAGTAATGTATTATGTGAAAATTATTAATGTTGTGTAATGGAAAGTATATACGTCCCTAAAACGATTATGTTGATGAACGAAAAATTTCTGTCACATCATGTTATTAAACTATATTGTGTACATGCATATGTTGCCCTGAAAGAGATGTATGTCCAAAGGCTTTAGATACATGAAAGTAATGTACGTAGAGTCAGTATGTATGAAAGTGATGCATGTCTAAAGTATTTGGTCTATACAAAAGTATTGTATATGAAATTATGCGTATGAAAGTGATATACACCTTATGTTGAAAGGCCTTCCTATCGTGCATAAAGTGACATTAGCATTTCCAAGCTAATTATGTTATAGAAATTAGGTCATTATCTGAGACCTTTAACGAGATACTTTATATAAACTATATAACTTTATCTCGATTAAATTATAAAAAAATGTTTGGTTATGTTCAACATTACGTTGTTTCACACTTAAAATCGACGTTTCAAATTAAAAATAGTTCTATTAGCATACATTATGAGTAATGATTCATTAAGTTCGATTCCTTACCTCATATTCGTTGAATTTCCATGTTCGCGTAAAATTCAATATTCCACCAAATGATAATCATCACAAACAGACCTAAAAGGCAAACAAGTCATATCAGCCAATAGCTTTTGAATGTGATTCCAATACCAAACTCAAGATGAAGAGAACTAAAACAATTAAAAGTCTAATCAATAAATTTAGAAATAAATATAACTAAAAAGAAATGAAAGTCCAACCAATAGCAACACTTGCTATCTTAATTATCCATTCTAATTTCTATATAATAATAATGATAATAAAAGACAACGTGGACTAAATATAGCTGCAAAAGGTAGCAAGCAAGCAACTTTCATTCCCAAAGAAAAGTAAAATAGGAGGATATTATTCTTTATAAATATTATATGCAAAAATAAGTACTTGCATTTACTTTTAAGACAACAAACAAAAAATAAATAGTTTCTTCCATCTCAATGGAAGACTATGAAATCATATACTTTACTTACATTAAACAAATATATCTATATGTCGTCATGCATGATAATAATAATAATAAACTAATCATTGAACCCCATGTTTTGTTTTGAGTTTCTTCTCCTATTTTAGTTTTATTTCAACACAAAAACTGAGATGCTGATTAGATGATCAAGGAGGGCCATAAAGTATCTGGGAGAGAAGACAGAATCTTCTGTCCCAAATGGCTAAAAGTTTCATTTTCTTCAATTTCTCTCTTTTTTGGTGGTGAATCTGCTTGTTTTCCTTGTATGACAGCTGATTCAAATCCAGAAACTTTCACTGTATGGATGAAGTCCCTTATCATGCAAGGAAATGGGCTTACTGTTTTCAATGGGAATGGTCAGATTGTTTATCGAATAGACAACTATGATGAAAAGAGTAGCAGGGAAGTCTTTTTGATGGATCTCAGAGGGAAACTTCTCTTTACGCTGCGTCGAAAGGTGGGTTTCGATGAACAAGGACTGGATATTATTGTGTAGCTTTGATGCATTGCTTATTGTCATTGGTTGTTTTTGGTTTCCTTTGGCAGAGAATCTGGTTTCTTTGTGATTGGGAAGGATATAAGGATGGTGGTGTAAATACAGAGGAAATAAAACCATTCTTTAGAGTGAAAAGGGTTCTCAGATTTATCAGTAAAAAGTTAAGATGTGATGTGAAATTATGTGAAGGAGAATCTCGGCCAAGTTTCGGATATAGGTTTGAAGGAATTTGGGGCAGAACAGCATTCAGAATATTGGACAGCCATGGCGGACTTGTTGCAGAGGTAAGGCCTTTTGTTCGAACTTAAATGCTACAATCTTCCTCAATATACTTACTACATTAGTATGATATCGTCTACTTTGGGTTAAAGCCATGCAATTTCATTTCTGGATTCCACCCGTTTAAGATGGTATTCTAACTTAAACCTATGGTTTTCCCCATCTCACCTGCTATTAAGTTTTTGTTGCAAAACAGAATATGAAATGAAGTAAATGGCATCTGGGTTTGTGCAGGCAAAGAGAAAACAATCTTTAGGAGTTCAACTGGGAGAAGATGTTATGAGTTTGGTCCTAATACAGACTAATTTGGATCATTCCCTACTCATGGCACTTGTGACTGTCTACCTATTGATTCAACATAGAATATGATTCAATTGTTTCAAAAGAGAAAACAAAGGAGACAAACCTGGAACAATTCAGCAGCCAAACTTGCAAAGTGGACCCAAATTAACCGGCTACTTGACCAACTCTACCTGCAGCATCTTTTCCTGTATTTTCCCCCTTCAATTCTTTCAAGAGAATTAGAGCAGCCATTGAAAAGTATGTAATTTAATTCATTTTGTATACCTGTAAAGCTCACTCATGAAATCTTCTACACTGCATTTATCTGACAATGTCCAAAGGCTTCAATTCTGCCAACTGCAACTTCCTGCTATAGACAAAATTACAAGTAGAGCTTCCCAGCAAGAAAAAGTTACCATAAATCTACTTCTATTTTCACAAGGAAATGTCTCTTTCCCCTAGAAGAATAAAAAAGACCTCGCGTGTATTTCACGACAAGCTCTCGAAAATAATTATCATAATTTTAAATTAAATAAATAAAAGTTGACTGGAACAAAAAATATTTTAAATTTGACTCAATGGAACAGATAATGCCAGATAATGGCATTTCTGGCTTCCGTTGGTTTTTGCTTTTTTTTTTTTTTTTTTTTTTTCTTCCCCTTTACAAACAAACTATTTATTCACTCTAATGGAATGTCTTGTCTTGTGTGGTATCACGCTACTTCCTCTACATGAAATGTATACTTTTTTCTATATAATGCTACAAAAGAATTACTAAATCTTCTTGCGATTTTTAAGACTGCGTAGAGTCATTACAAGCTGTTGCCTTTCACCTTCTACCTCTGCAAACTTGAGACTTATCTCTGAATATCTCTCTTGCATTTCCTTTAGTTCACTCTCCATTGATTTGTTTCTTTCCCTTAATACTGCTAATTCTGTCGAAAATTTGTCACAATTGTTGTCACTGTCGTCAAGTTTGTCGGTCTCTGATGAAATTATATCATTCCTGCGGAGAATAGAATAAGGAAGAGAATCAGGGAATTGATTGTTTCCTTCGTTCAAAAGGACAAACAGAATCAGAGGTTGAACAAAAACTTCCAAGAGAGAGAGATTATTATCTGTTTTCTAACATACCTCCCAACTGACACGCCATTTCCATATTCAATGGATGATGAAGTGTTTTTGCTTTGACCTTGGTTATTTGCCTGCTTCCAATTCAATCATGAGATGTTATTTAACGACATACAAATATATGTAACCTTGAGATCTGGGAAACAAGCACAAGAATGACAAAGGCTAACGATATTATAATGACGATTTAACTATAATATTGTTAACAAATAACTATGTAATTCGTGAAGTGTGTGCTTTAAATGTAAATGAAGAGGAACAAATTCATTTTAACACAACCATAGAGGTTAGAATCTGCATGCCTTATAATAATGCACATTTCCTACCTCTTGAATTTTGCTAATAGGAACAACTTCTTCCAATTTGCTTTCTAACTCTTCAATTGTGAGCTGAAAATCCATCACCTTTTCGGAAATTTTACTAGCTAGAGTTTCTATGGCGTCTTCTTTCAAACTTATCTTTCTCTGGAAAGAGGAGTAGGATTCATAAATTGAATAACTTGATTGAAAAATAAATAACCATTTACAAAAACATGGATCTTGAGGATACCTCAAGCAACTCAATTTTCCCCTTTAGAGCAGCGACCTCCTTTGGGTTACTTTCCGAAGAAGTGGACTTAGTGCTTTCTGTAAAAGCTTCAACAACATCACAGGCTGCTGTGTGTTCATCGCTGTACCAGAGCATGTCAACACCATTGAATTCTTTCACCTTCTTCAGGTCATCATTTAGCTGAAAGACCTGATGTCTAAGTTTATCTTTCTCTATCTCCCCTTCGACCAAAGAATGTTTTAAGTCACTGCAGTGATCTCTAAGCACCTCCAACTCTGTTTGTAGACATCCCATTGATATCTCATATTCAACATTCTGATGCCTTCTTCTATTTAACTCGTTTTGAAACTTTTCGCCTTCTTTCATAATCAAAGCGATGGTTGTTACCAGTTCATTTCTTTCCATGTTTTTGATCTGGTTCAAGCTCTCTCTTTCCTTGAGAGAGCTATTTTCTCTTGTGAGCCTTTCAATTTCATACTTGAGTAACAAAATCTCTCTCGAGAGAGATTCACAAACTTCTTTTTGAACCTCCTGTCGATCAAGCAGCTTAGATTTTGTATGAAGTTCTAAAAACATCTGTTCGATCTGTCTTGTTTGCAAATCTACCAGGTTTGAGAGTTCACGGAGCTTAGCGTCAGACTCCTCCTTAACTGATTGAAGCTCTTTATTAGTAGACACAAGTTTTTCATCTAATTGAATCTTCTGCAGTTGCAGCTCGATAGATTCTGCCACTGCTTTAGCAGCTACCTTCTCATTTGCATCAAATGTCGAGACTATCTGCAAAGAAACCCGTTTGAGTTCTTCTTGAAGCCTTTTTGCTGTACTAGCATTTCTCGACCTTGTCTTCCTCAAGTCCTCCTCTGCTAGGATGGCTCTTTGCTCCTGCTTAATTTTAGCACATGTGATATCTTCTAGATCAGCTACAAAATTTTCAGCTTGCTGCTCCAGCTCTTCCTCCAAGGCCTGGATATGGGCTTCAAGTTCTTTTATGGTGCTCAAAGAATCAGAGAATTCTTTTGACCGCTGCTTAAGTTCCCTATCCAAGTGTTCTATGTGTGTTTCCATCTCTACTATGGTTGCTGAGGGCGTACATTCTTCTTTCATGTCAAGTTTCTCCTGCAGTTCACATTGCTCCAGTTTATATGACATGCCATGATTTTCCTGTTTCAGTATTTCATAGTCAAGTGCTAGTTGTTCCATAATCATTTCTAATTCATCCTTCTCTCTCTTGTAGAATTCTACTTCACTATATAGGTCAACAACCTTTTGTTCCAGAAGATATGTTTCATTTGCATCACTATGCTGCTTAACAAGATTTTCCAATGCCTTCTGCTCCTCATCGTTCTCAGATTCACACTTGGAGATGGTATTATAGAACTCTTCAGCATTCTCAGAAAATCTTGATCTGTCATAGAGACGGACTCTTGCACCATTTTTCTGCTCTAACATTTCCTCTAGGTCTCGCATCGCAAGAATCAACTCATCATTAGCTTTCTGGGTCTTCTGGAGTTGTAGGCGAATGTTGGCATTTAATTCCTTTTCCTGGTTTAGTTCTTCCTTCGTTTCTTCCAGAAGAGCCTCTATTTTCTTACCCTCCAACTCCATTTTATTTTTGGATTTGGATTTGAGTTTCTCGCATTCCTCCCTGAGTGAATCTCTCTCCTCTTTCAAAATGACAACTTCTTTAGACAGATCATGACCCCTTTTACTTTCTTTGACAATTTGCTTTCGAAGTGTCTGCAATTCCAATTCTGAAACTTCTGCCTGCCTGGAAAAGCCAACAAGCTCAGCCTTGAGCTTTTCAATCTCAATATTTACAACTCTTTCTTCAGACCGCATTACTGGTCCAGAACTATCTAAGGGAGGCATGTCATCTGATGATTCATCTATGCTTACTCCATGATCGGAACCAAGGGGCCATATTGATTGTGATCTTTGATTCTGCTTGTTAGTGGTTGTTGAAAGGGATGTCACTGGTGTGCGAGGAAGTGATGATAAACTAACAGGTTGATGTTCTCGTGGAGTATCAAATCCAGAGCTGCTCTCAGAACTTGACAATGTAATATCAGATCCACTTGATTCTCTACAGTCACCATTTAGTTCAAAATCATGAGGGCTCTTGCTAATCTGCTCGTCCTATTTACACAGAGCAAAGGAAAGAATTACAGCAACAATACCAACAGCTGTGGAAAAACTCAATTGGTTATCTACTCTACAGTTATTTTTTTACAAGAAAATAAAAATACTCAGTCCACGAGCAAATATGCTGAAAAACTGGTCATGAAATCTCCGAAAAACAATGAAGGGGAAAATGTGCTTATTATGCTACTTGGAAATGGAGCCTTACTTCAGTACAATTGCTTTTAATGCTTTCATCTACTTCACCATTGCTCAAGTATGATTTCAAGCTCGTTTCCTGAGATCCAATGCTGACATTGTCAAAATCTTCCCCCTCTCTGTCATTTTTTTCCCCATCAGGAGCAGATCAAACCCTCAGTCAAACATTAGCAAAATATCCTCTAAGAAAGGAAACTTGAAACCATAGATTCTCACCTTGGCTCAATTTTAGCCTGCAGCTTCTGTATCAAAACCTATGAAACAACATAAGCAAAATATTAACAATGGATGATGAAAGGGAAATCACAGTGCTCAACAGAGATCCCAATGTTCAAATCCAAAGATGACAATCCTTGTTAAGCATGATAGGTTCACACACTCAGGTAGGGAACAGTTCGAAATACTCACATGCAAAACCACATCAGAATTGGAATTCTTTAGGGGAAGAGAAACAGAAGAAGATTTCGTGGCATCTGCATAATCAGCTAAGTTGATAGAAACCTCCCCAAGAACCCTTGATTTTGCTCGTCCCTATATTAACACCCAAGTTAAGCTTGCATTTAAATACATTTTCATTGACAAGAAAAAAACAAATCAAATCTAGAACTTCCATATATACCATTGAGACGAGGAAGTAATAGGTTTTCTCATTGATTTTCCCAGATTTTGTGTCCCGCACGAACTTGACTGTTTCATAAACTGGAGTTTCCCATTTGCAACTCCCATCAGTAACTGTGACTTTATCCAGTCTTGCAGTTGGCTTTCCCACATCTCCAGGAACCACGGATAACGTCAGTGCATCCACCACTGACTGTGAAACCTGAAATTAATTTACATTTACAATCTGAAGTAACCGGCCAAGTAACAAAATGCCCAGCCAAACAATCTTGCTCTGTTTGTAATGAATAAAACAAAAACCAAAAAGGTTCACGGGCATGGATGTATTAATCCGTTTCTATTCCGTCCATTCAAATCATCAGAAACGTCTCAAATCCATTAATGCACTAACTTCTCAGCTCCAAGCGAATCAAATCACCGACTCGAATACTTCTCTCATTTTCAACAATCTTTTCAGCTAACTTCAAGTAATGCTCCAAATTCCATTACACAAACACAATCCAAAACCGCTATACGCAATCCAAAACCAAAAAAGAACTTCCAAAATCAAGGTAAATGTCCAGAACTGAAGTGAAAGAATAAACAAACTTAATAATCTCAACCATACCTGAGTAACATAAAACTGCAACTTAAATTCCGCCTTAACCTTATTCTTCTCACTCCTCCATCTCGCCGACTTAAACATCTCCGCCTATCTCCGGAAAACTCCCGCCGGAAACCGCTTCAAAGCAGAAATTCAAGCAGCGACCACAACCTCATTGCTGCAGCAGAGTGAGCCGTCAAAGCGATTAACACAGTGGATCAAAATGCAAGCGAATTGGAATCAGAGAAGGAGGAGAACAACATCGAAATTCACATAATGAAAGCTTGAGAAAGAACCTGAAATTGAAGAACAACAATGGAAGAAGATTATGGGATGATGGAATCGGGAGATCTGAGAGATTCTCTCACTGTCCTCATTCAGGGAAAAAAATTAAAGCGAAAGAAAAAAAAAAAGGAGAAGCTTCTGAGTGTTACATTTCAATTTTATAATCTAATTTTCACTGAAACTTGAAATAAATGATTAATTTTATTTATTAAAAATTTATTTATTTATTTATTTATGTCAGGTTTGGCTCGTCTTGAATTGAACAATAAAACAGAGAGATGATTAAAATAAAAAAATAAAATAAAATAATTGTGGTCTGACAGTTCTACCCTTGACCTATTCAAATATTCCACTCGGATTTATTTTTAGTCACGTGTCATCCAGCTAAGCTTTTTCACACGTATGAAAATAGGAGAAAGAAAATAAATATTTATATTTTCTTATTAGTCCAAATAATTTTTTTCTTATTACTATTTAATAAACCATTTAAATATATATATATTTTTTAAATTACACTCCAAATTTTAAATTTTATTTTATTTTTAGGAGTAATAAGAAAATAAATAATCGAAAAAATAGTTTAAAAAATCATATATAACATTTTGTTTCAATTAAAAAATACATTTGAGTTGGTTTTCACGGCCATCGTTGGCACTCTTTCCTGGGACCACTCTCAAATCCACCCCCTTGGGTCTTTCCTTCCTCCAATTAATGTGGGACCGCCCCCCAAATCCACCCCTTTTGGGCCCAGCGTCCATACTGGCACACCGCCTCGTGTCTACCCCCTCTGGGGAACAGCGAGAAGGTTGACACGTCGTTCGGTGTCTGGCTCTGATACAATTTGTAACGACTCGAATCCACTGCTAGCAGATATTGTCCTCCTTGGGCTTTCCCTTTCGGGCTTGCCCTCAAAACTTTAAAACGCGTTTGATAAGAAAATGTTTTCACACAAATGATGGTTTGTTCTCCTCCCCAACATGGGACATCACAAACCTAAATTAATTTTTCGATAAATTTTAATTTTACATATTTTACATTTCTCGAATAATTTTAATTTATTATAAATTTATTAAAGGTGGATCATATTAATATTAAAAAAAAAAAAAAAAAAAACATTCCATCGATGTCTTTAAATAAATGCTATTGTAATTTCAATTTTGAGTCAAAATCTCAATAAGTAACCGTTAAATTAGTTGGCATGATTGAATCTTATATGTTAAAAGCAAAAAATAGCACCAGCCCTAATTAATTATTTATGTAGCCAATTCTTTTAATAAATAAAATAATATTTAATGCGAGAAAATAAAATAATAAAATATCGATCCCTTTATAATATGATTAGGAGAGCCTAATTCCCATTTAATTTCACCTTTTTAATAATGCATAATAATTTAATCCAAAAGTAAAAATATTTAATATTATGATAGAGTGGATCAACGAACACAAATATTTTATTTTTGTTTTTGTCGCTAAGAAAATGTATCAAAATAATGTCTTTAATTATTGCAGTTATTTTTAATAAATTAATTTATGGAAAAATTTAGTAATTAAATTGCACAAGAACTAAAATTATTTAAAATTGTAGAAATTAAATTGAATAATAAATATTTATAAATTTAAAAGTATTTGCAATTAAATCAGTTTATTAACAAAATTATTATTTATTGTTATCATAATATTATTTTTAATTTTTCATAAATATTTCAAAATAAATGTATGTGACATTGACATAGTCCAAAATGAAATATTTTTTATGCAACTATTTAATGGCAGCCTCGAATAAAAAACAAAAGGTAGGGGCATTCTGGTCATTCTACATTTTATTTATTGTTTTTTTAAAAGCTAATTTGCAAGGCGCCGACGGGACGACGACACAAGAGACGTAAGCAAGGGAGCAATTTTCAACGGTCGTGAAATGGAAAGAATATTGTTTAATATTTTTAAAATTACAAATTAAATATCACTGCGTGCAATTACTCTTTTGCCCAAGATTTTCATATATTTACAACCCCAAGACTTTTCTAAAATATATTACCAAAATAATAATAATAATTACAATATGATAGTTGTTACATATCATTTTATTATATATTAAAAAAATAATCACCGACAACTACAATTGACACGTGCATTATATATGGTTTGGGAGATTTATTTTATTTGAATTAGATTAGATCAATGAAAAAAATAATATAATATTTGATTTTACTATTTTGATAATATCATGATTGATTTATTGAATATTAGAGGAATTGTGATAATAATTTTATTAAGTTTTAACCATATAAATTAAATCCGGTCAGCTACTTGTCAGCTACTTGAAGATGTTGGGTCCCAATAAGGGTGTCCCACATTAGTGGAGAAGAGAACGAACTATTATTTATAAGGGTATGGAAACCTTACCCTAATAGACACATTTTAAAACCGTGAGGCTGATGACGATACGTAACGGACCAAAGCGAATAATATTTGATAGTGGTAGACTTGAGTTGTTATAAAACATAGAATATGAACGACTTACTACATCATTTGTGTTGAACTGCTCCTTCTGCTCGATAAACAAATACAAGCATTACGAGATTTTGTTCAGGTTTTGGGGGCTTGAGCTTAAACCTAAAATTATAAACGAGGGTAGTCGTTGAGAGACAAAATCCAAACGGTTTAATGCAAAAGGGACCTATGATGTCATGTTATTAAAAGCCATTGGACCCTATGCCTATATAATTGTACCATAAGCACGTGCCCCTTTGTCACACAACATGAAATTTGTGAATTCATTTACCTCAAATGGGATTTTTTCTCACTGTAAAAAACAAAAAAAGAATTTTTACTAAGCTTCTTGTGAACCAGCTAGCTCAGGGTTCGAGTGACATTTCACCCCTAACCACAATTCATCCGCTGATTCTTCAATATCAGTCGGTTCGAATCTTCACTTAGTTTCACCCAAGCTTCATCCGGGTCATGGATAGATCACCCAGGTTCGGATCCATAAACAGTGACAATTGCCCCATGAAGACTCGCTTTTGCTACGGCTCTGATGGGTTCCCTTAACCAAGCCACTACCTATGAGTCGCCGGCTTATTCTTCAACAAGCACGCGGTCAAAGTCCTAGTCTCCTCCCACGGCTTGGAAGCTTATGGTTTCATGTTTTATTTCACTCTCCAATGGGGGTTCTTTTCACCCTTACCGTAGAGTAAACATTTAATAACCGCACTATATATAACAAAAGTTTTTAAACCATGAATCTCGACAGAATTTAAGATTTATCGAAAGTAATTAATAATATTTTTAATTTTTTAAAATATTATTAGAGACAAGAGACAATGATCACGTGAAGGTGGTCGGACCCTATTTTTTCATCAACATTTTGGCCATATAACCTACAAAGACCTCCAAATGCGTACAAGTCAAGATAAATTAATGCATTTGGCTTGTTTGTCACCATTCCTCTCATATTTTCCATCTCAACTTTATCCAAAACGACTCTCGAAACTTTCTCTCGACTAATCATTCATTCATTTACGTTTCTAGTCCGTTAAAAAAGTTTTGTTTTTTAATCTAAATAACATGTGTTGGCGTTCGATAATCGAAGAATTATCCATATCTTTTTATCTAACAGATGATTCAGTTTTCTCTCGTATAATGAAATACGAACATAGGAGTGTTGTGAGTTGGATTGAACTAAATTGAGACGCTTTTTAAATTTAACACAGTTATTCGAGTCGTAAATTTTCCAACCTAAATAATATTTACCTAACCAACCGATTCATTCTGATTGTTTGTGTCATTTATTTAAATTTTTATTTTTAATAAACTAAAAGGTTAATTAGTAAAATATCTATTTATTTGTTTTCAAATATTTAATTACAATTTGTAAGTCAATTTCAATATATATTTTAAAAAATTATCTACGGTCGAGGAATAAAATATATATATATATATATATAACTAACCTAGTCCAACTCAAATAAGTTTATGATCCAACCCAAATCGTATAGGTTTGATTGGGTTGATCGAGTTTTTTCGAGTTGTTTGAAAATCTCGAAACAAACGAAAACGAGATGTTCATATCATTTATTTTCTACCTATATTAAAGAGAATAATTTATGAGCTAAATCACCTCGTTCTTCATCTTGTCTATCACCGAGCTCAATTATAAATTACATTAATATCGAAATAATGTAGAGTCAACATTTTAGTTGAACACAGATGATTCCATAGCCATTTAAGTAGGTCTAGACAGAATCTTGTTACATCCATTTATTTACATTAATGGCACAAATTAATTGCAATATTGCTATGGACAAAATTACAATTAATGGTTATTTCTTAATTATATATATATATATATTAAAAAAATCAAAATTAACTTATTTATTTAAAAAAAAACTAATTAAATTATTGATTAATTATGAATAAATAGAAACTTTATTAGTTGGGTTGGTGAACCACCTAAAATTAATTTGATTTGAATCAAAATAATCTTGATTCATCATTAATTAAAAGATGGGTTTATTTTTTTCTTTTCCTTTTTGTTAATTAAACTTATAAATAATATTTAGATTTATTATTTATTTTTTTGAAAATATTTTTAAAATCTAACCCAAATTATCGAGAATCAAAATATAGTTTTTGGATTTTTTTTTTCCTAAAAATATAATAAAAATGGTGAAAAACAAACGTAAATTTCAAAATTATTAAAAAAAAAACAAAAAAAAATCATAACTATTTTGGGCACCATTCATTTATTTAAAAATTGGGTACTGACACGTGGGCCCACAGCCTCAAACATAAATGGCAATATTTAATACTATAATTTCAACAAAAAAAAAAATAATAAAAAATAAAAAATACGAGGTTTAATATGTCGACAGTTATTATGCCAACCGATAAATATTTAATAATAATTCAGTAATTAATTATTATTAATATAGAAATAATTATTAGGAAAAAAAATTCATGAATAACTGTCAGTTTACTATTTTACATATATTTCTAATTAATACTCATTTAATTTTTTTTTAATGTATTTTAAAAATACAATTTTCATTTTCTAAATTAGTCCGTGTTATATATATATTTAAGAGTGTCCTATATATATTTAAGAGTGTCCTATGTATGCCATGCTAATATGCCTTGAATGATCCACATTGGTTACCAATAATCTTTAGGAAATGAGTTTTGCTATAAAGAACTACATTTTCTTGTGTCGGGTCGCATGTCGATATGATTTATCATATATTGTTTGATCAAGAGATGGATTATACAGCCGCTAAACGATGATCGGTGACGTTTTCGGAGCGTTCTGTGCAAAATAATGATTCATAGTCGAAATACTGTTCGATTCGAGATTGAATATTAGTCACTGTACTGGTTTAAGAACAAACTTTTTACGTACAAAGATGGCTGGCTGCATATATTACACAGCGATGGCAGCAGCACTGAATGGTAGAGATTTCTACTTCCAAAGGGTATCACTTACATGGCCACAAGAGGACTATGGTTTGTTTTGATGTTTAAGTAGTCTGTCGAGCACAACCGCTGTCCCGCTAACCTTTAGATCGATTTGTGGCAGCTTTTCGTCTAGCACAGCATCCGACTAAGTAGATAATCAGCTGGCAATGGAAGTAAGAGTTGAGAAATTGTGAGATCTCACGTCGGTTGGAGAGAAGAACGAAACATTCTTTATAAGAGTGAGAAACCTCTCCACAGTCGACGTGTTTTAAAAACCGAGGGAAAACCCAAAAAGGACAATATCTGCTTGTGGTTGACTTGGACCGTTACAAATGGTACCAGAGCCAGATACTAAGCGATGTGTTAGCGAGGAAGCTGAGCCTTGAAGGGGGTGGACACGAGGCAATGTACCAGCAAGGACGTTGGGCTCCAAAGGAAGTAGATTGAGGGTCTCACGTCGATTAGAGAAGGAAACGAGTGCCAGCGAGAACGCTAGGCTCCGAAAGGGTTGAATTGTGAGATCCCACATCGACTAGGGAGGAGAACGAAGCATTCTTTATAAGGGTGTGAAAAACTCTCATTCACAGACGCGTTTTAAAAACCTTGAGGAGAAGCCTGAAACAACCTAAAAAGGACAATATCTGCTAGCGGTGTGCTTTGATGTTACAGAAATAAAGGGAAGAAATTGAAAAGACCCGACAGTGTTAGCAGGCTTTTAAAGAGTTGGAAGAGTCTTACCAAGACAACAAATAGAACGACGTTGAAGATCGCAACCAATCGCCATTCGGTTTTCATGTACTGTGCAACTCCGGCCCTGAATGATCAGATTAAACAATCAAATAATGATGAAATTTTCCACATAAATGGCGGCGGGGCGGGGCGGGGCGAACAGAACAATAAGGTTACGAGATATTTACTTGCACGAGTCGCAATCGTAACACTTGACTGCCTTCGAATTCTTGTACAGTTTGCAGTCATGGTTTGAATCAACAGGATGAAAGCTCAAATCATAGTATGATGCATTTACAGCAGGATAACCACATCTACAATATCATGACAGCAAAAAGATAGCATCAGTGACAATATCGTCGAAACATCGACAATAGATTTAGTTTCTTTTTGTAACCACCCAAGCCCACCGCTAGCAGAAACTGTGCTTTTTGGACTTTCCCTTTCAGGCTTTTCCTCAAGGTTTTTAAAACACGTCTCCTAGGGAGAGGTTTCCACACCCTTATAAAAAATGCACTCGTTCCTCTCTCCAATCGATGTGGGATCTCACAATCCACTCTCTTCGGGACCAGCGTCCTCGCTGACCAGACAGTGGATCTTATCGATTGGAGAGAGGAACGAGTGCATTCTTTATAAGGGTGTGGAAACCTCTCTCTAGTAGACATGTTCTAAAAACCTTGAGAGAGAAGCCCAAAGAAAATAATATCGGCTAACAATGAGCTTGGGCTGTTGTGACAACCAAGAACTTGAAGGTTACACCTACTCCGATGGGGGTCTACAACAACCCGCTTCGATTGGCGTAAGCTTTGCTAACTTGTACTGCTTGAGAGTCTGAAATTATCAAACAAAACGACTATCGTGAGGAAGAGACGATAGAAAAATCACTCTTTTACTCAAATCGACCGAGCTTGAAACAAGAACCTTGTATCGTTTCGAAAGATTGTTGCAGTCCTCGGATTTAACGAGACAGCTTCTCAAATGCATCCAGTTATCAGTATTATTAAGCTGTAACAGGTGAGCTAAGATTAAGATAAATAATGATGTCTTTCTGTCTCTCTATGCAAAATGAACTCACCTGTTTTAGAAACCATGTACTATAGTCTTGTAGTTGATACTCCTTGTACCTCATAAAGGGGAAGAGAAGGGGGGAAAACATCAGTCCATAGAACGGTAGCTTATCGACTCAACGAGTACCGAACTTCGAGAATCATGAGAGTCATGGCCATTCCCATTTCCATTCTTTCGATCTCGGTATCCTCGAGACAAAAGGACTTAAAATGAACCTTTTTTTTAATGAGTTGAGTATATCCTCACCTCAAGCCAGCAACGGAATGTCCCGATCCGTTATTTGTAACGATGAACCTAAAAGAAAGTCGAGTCATTATATACCGACAACAAAGCTTGATATGTGTTACTAACTACAAGATGACAACAACTATGGATGTCCACTTTGATATTTTGTTTTATATCTCGAAGGGGCTCATGCGAAGATAACAAAGAAAGTTAAGTACTTCTGGTGAGATCCCACGTCGGTTGGAGAGAAGAATTAAACATTCCTTATAAGGGTGTGGAAAGCTCTCCATAACAGACGCGTTTTAAAACCGTGAGGCTGACGGCGATACGTAACGGGCCAAAGCGGACGATATCTGTTAGCAGTAGACTTGGGCTGTTACAAATGGTATCAGAGCCGACACCGAGCAGTGTGCCAGTGAGAACGCTGGCCCCCAAGGAGAGTGAATTGTGAGATCCCACATTGGTTGGAGAGGAAAACGAAACATTTCTTATAAGGGTCTGGAAAACTCTCCCTAATAGACTCGTTTTTAAACTGTCAGACTGATGGCAATACATAACAGGTCAAAGCGGACAATATCTGATAGCAGTGGACTTGAACTGTTACAGATGGTATCAAATCAAGTACCGAGCGGTGTGCCAGCAAGGACGTTAGCCCCAAGGGGGTGAATTGTGAGATCTCACAATGGTTGGAGAGGAGAAAGAAACATTCCTTATAAGGGTGTGGAAAACTCTCCTTAACAGACGCGTTTTAAAACTGTGAGACTGATGGCGATACGTAACAGGTCAAGGCGGACAATATTTGCTAGCGGTGGGCTTGAGTTGTTACACTTCTCATATCATGACCTTTGATATTAATTAGAGGGTTTGATTGTTAGAGCCTTTGCCCACATGACTTGAAATCCAAGACGTGTTCATGTGAGCTACAAATCGACCACATAACGTACGAAAGTTACTTTCGAGGGCTTGTTAGAAAAGTACTTGCTGAATCTTCTAATTTGCCAATAAACTCAAAAACCGACACAGACAGAGTAAATATTTAAGGATTGACTGACCCTCTCGTAGCACCGTATAACCAATAACGATGCATAAGCACATCGAAAAGCCTCGGGAAGTGCTTTGAAGATCTCGTTTGGCAAGACCGTGAGACAAGAACACTAAAGAACAAGTACTAAATTCTACCTTGAGGCACACATCTAAGTAGGAGATGTGAGGAAGCAACATAGTTTCAAGACAATAAATTTTAGGAACATGTGACAAAAGAACATTAGAAAAATATACTTACGCCAGCACGGTAAACACGAGAATCGCCACCAACGTAATGCACAACATGATCAAATACTATTAGCAGAAGGTCAAGGTCGAGCGAAATTCAAGAAAACTAACATCAACTGTTCATATAAACGTTCGTTAAAAGGATACGATCCACAGCAATATCGAATTGTTCTTAAGAGCACCCAAGAAACCAACTATGGACCTGAATCAAAAGTATTGATAACAACAAGATTGGATGATGGAATCAGATTAAACTCCTTAAAGATATAGAACTTACACCACGAAGATGAATCCACCGAGTCCCATAACAGGAAGCGTTAGAGATTTTCGACAACCGTCGTGGTTGGTGCCCATCCATATCCCAAATATTATGACAAGAACAGCCAGAAGCTGTAAAATGTACACACACAGTGATTCAATAGCCATCAATCTTGCCATCATCAAGTATAACAGTCAAAGCCCACCGCTAACAGATATCGTCTCTTTCGACTTTCCCTCCCGGGCTTCCCTTAAAGGTTAACGCGTCTTTCAGAGCTACGCAACCTAGACGCGTTTAAAAATCTTAAGAGAAAGCTCAAAGAGGACAATATTCGCTAGCGGTGGGATTGAGCCGTGTGTGATAGTTGTTCTTGATGGAGTATGGCTTATATCTGTGTTTTCTGTAAATTAAAAAACATCATTATAATATCTTTGATCCATGATCTTGGGAAGATGTCTTGTCTTCTTTTCTCTTCAATCTTGGTGTTTATAAGCTTAGTTTTCAAAAATCAAGAGCAAAAAACCAAATGGACATCAAACCAAACATAAACAACCATTCAAAGCAATGTCAAAGACAACCCAACAAGAACCTTAAAAAAAATGAAAAACTAAACGATGAAACTCATCGAACATATACAAGAAACCCCAACAAACACACTGGAAACAACATAAACAGAACCCATTACACGACATTCAAACTAAATCCAAAGACATGGGAGCTAAAAAAAACAGAACAAAAGCCCACAAAACAATGGAACATAAAACATCATCTTAGAAAGAAACCAAAAAAAAGGGTAAAATCAAGAGAAATCAAGCATACCATGGTGAGAAAATTGATCCATCTGATGATAAAGATGCTAGTTCCCATTCCCATTTTGCCCCTCTTCCCTTGAACCTCCTTATCCCCAACGCCACACCCAGAAAAAGAGATAAACAGGGCCAAAAAGGGCAAAATATAAAAAAGAGAAAGAATGGAGTTTCTTCGGAGCTTAGCTGAGGAAGTGGCACTTGCACTGCAAGCAAAGAGAAGCGGCTAGAGTGAGGTGGTGGGGTGGAGTAGGGATAATGAAATAAGGGCAAGGGCATTTTCGTCAAAGGAAAAAAAAAAAAAAGTGTCACATGGCTCCATGAATGACCCCCTGGTGGTGTTTTACAGACAGACAGACAGAACACAATCCGACAAGACACTCATAAACCTGAACGCCGTGATTAAGGATTTAAATTTGAGCTAAATCAAATTATGAAGCTAACTAATCTTAATCTCTTTATTTCCCATCTGGGTTCGATCTTTTCTTTCCCAAAATTTGCTTTTTTTTTTCTTGTCCCTTTCGTTCGTGTTGTTCTTCGTTTTTCTTGGTCAGCACTTTGCCATAAAAAGTTGGAATCTTTACAGTTGTCTGCTTAAAAATGTTCCCTTTGGTTCTTGATCGATCCTTTGTGTTCATAAAGAGTTGAACCATAAAATTACTTTGAATTGGATTTTAAGATTAAATGAAAAAATGTATAATATTTTCTTAAATAATTTCAAACGAAATTTTGTTTATCAAAATTTTAAATCCAGGAAGAACAATGATGTGACGTCACATCACACCTTTCATTTCAAAATTTGATTGTATTTCTAATATTTAAAATTAAACATTTAATTATTTACATCGTAAAAATTGAGTTGAATTTAATTTTTTTCGAAATTTTGAGAGAATTTTTTTCTGATATGGTGACCAAGTAAAAATGGAGTTTCATTTAACCCAATCTAAGGAAAGATTAATAATATACATATAAATAATTTTAAAACATATTCTAAATTATAATATATTTATTATTTATTTGTTGCAGTATTATTACATCATAATTTATATATATGTATTTTTTTTAATAGTTTGACTCTCTAATGTCGGGCATAAATAACATGTTTTAATTAAAATGTATTTATATATATATATATATATTTTTGAAATATATCTTTAAACTAATCATTTTTATTGTTTATTTAATTGTATGATCTATTCTGGTATCTTTATTACTCTATCCAATTCTTAAGAAATGTCGGTATTTAGTTGTCTTAATTTTATGACAATGTTGAACTATGTTAATATGTTACAATTTTCGCTTGTTGTTTATTTTTATTTTTGAATAATTATAAATTGATTTGTGTTTGTTTGTGAACTTTTAATATATTTTATCCAAGATTGTATATGAATAATTATAAATTGTAGATAAATAAAACTTAAAAAAGATTGACAACTCAACCCAAACCCAACCCGAAAATGGAGGGTTGGGTAAAAAAAATCTGTCAACCCAACCCGAACCATATACACTCCTATATTTCAAATAACATTCCAACAATAAAAACACAAGATTATACAAGTTCAAACAATCGAGGTGCTTAGATTATCATATGGACCATAAAAATGCATAATTATATACTTCTTTTCGACTTAAAATAGAGCTACTGAAATGGAAGTGTCGATTTATTTTTCATTGAAAGATTAAAGAAAAATGTTCTCAACTATCACGATCAGGAGTGCAATAAGGGCCCACGTCCGTTACTGCAAAGACACGAACGTTTATGTTAAACAATATTATACTCATAGTTGGGAATTTTTGAAATAATTTAAAATTAATATATAAATTTTAATATATTTTTTAAATTTTAATTAAAGCATATTAGAGCGACCAATTATTTCACATTTTTTAAAACTTTCTCTCGTAATAAAATAAAATAATATTCCCTTTTTAACTTTCTCTTCTCTGACAATGGGCTTATAAATGGGCCTGGGCTTGAATTGATTTGGCCCAAAACACATTACAGCCCAAAATGCTTCTGAGCTAAAACTTCTTCGCCCGTCTTCTTCCTCTGGTCTCATTCTTGTTAAACCCTAAACCCCTCAGCTACTTTCCTCTAAAAATTGTTTCTCGCCGGAACCATGACCTCGTCGGTTCTTCTAGAGCGTCATCGGGCCTTTTCGAGTCTTCTATGTAAGTTCATATTCTCGCGTTCTATGGGCGGTGGTCCTCGGACCTTCCCCGGAGGCATTAACAAGTGGCAATGGAAGCGAATGCATGAGAAACGGGCTAAAGAGAAGGAGAAAAGGCTTCTCGAACAGGAGAAGCAGCTCTACCAGGCTCGAGTTCGTTCTGAAATACGCTCCAAGCTTGCTGGTGATTACGAAATTTCGAAGAATTCTGACCCTTCTACCAGTTACTCCCCAATGAGCCCTAGTGAGCATATTCATGCCCTAGCTAATAGGTTCATGAAAGAAGGAGCGATTGATTTGTGGAATGAAGATGATGGTCCATTGAAGACTCCGATACCGAGGCCGCAATTGCACGGAGGATTACGACGGATTGCATCAAATGATCGGAGTGGATTTATTAGATCGCCTATTGATGTCAAGAAGTTGTTAACGGAGAAACATGATGGATTAGAAGGGCCTCAGAATATGGGATTGGGAAACTTGAACGGCGATAATTTGAAGGGTAGGAGCTATTCAGTGCAAACTCGAAGGAGCTTCCGCAGAAATGAGAGCTCATCGAGTGACGATGACACGGGGTTTAACTCAGGTGTCGATTCAGTAAAACCTTTTGTGCATAAGTTAGCACGTAGCTCTGATAAAAATGTGAAATCAAGAAATCTTAACAGTGTTAGCAATGACAGGAAGGCTGTAGCTCAGGGGAAGATGAAATTTTGGAGAAAAGGGAGTTCGTCAAGCGATGATGATTCAGAAGACGAAATGGATAATGTGGATAAGGATTTGAGAAGTTGGAAGGATTTGAGAACTGGGAGTAGTGCTTCCTTGGGGAAGTTTGATCTGAAAAAGAGGAGGGTACCTCTAAAACCATATGGTGAAGAAAGTGATTTTGCTGAGCAAGTTCAGCTGCTTAGACATGAACTCAGCAAGAAGAATGCAGCTGAAGACGAAGGTGATAAGAACAAGGAGACAATTTTCACTCAGAAAAGGTACTCATAGCGGCTTCCCACACTATTGGGAATCAATTTTTTTTGTGAATCTATACACGCATTGATTCTTTATCTTGTTTTCATCAGATTTGACGAGTGTGGCATATCTCCGCTGACAGTCAAAGCACTTTCTTCCGCTGGATATGTCCGAATGACTCGTGTACAAGAGGCTACTCTATCTCTTTGCCTTGAGGGTATGGAATCCATCTAAGGTTTATCTTTTTATTACTAATTTTATTGGAACTGGAAGCTTGGAACTCGTTTTTCTGCTTGCTTTGAACCCATTTCTTCTAAATTTCATGATTGTTCACCTCCAATGACTATTGGTTAACCCGGGGTGGATCTAAAGCATCCTAATCGTTGTTTAAACTAGTTGTGCTTTTGATTATTGCAGGGAAGGACACCTTGGTTAAGTCAAAAACTGGCAGTGGAAAGAGCGTTGCTTTTCTGGTACATTTCTATTTCTTCTTAAAACTTAATGTTTAGTGTATTAGGATGTGTGTTTCAACTTTGTTACTGAACATAAACAGCTTCCTGCCATTGAAGCAGTTTTGAAGGCTGCATGTAGCAGCAGTAATCAAAGGGTGCCTCCAATTTCTGTTCTGATTCTCTGCCCCACCAGGGAACTTGCTAGTCAAATTGCTGCAGAAGCAATTGCTCTGCTAAAGTACCATGATGGTATTGGAGTGCAAACGTTAGTTGGAGGCACTCGATTCAAAGATGATCAGAAACGACTAGAATCAGTTCCCAGCCAGGTTCTACTCCTCTGCTATGCCTGTTTAATGATGTTTATTTTTGTAGTTTTTCTTTTTCTTGGATAATGTATATTAGGAAAAAAGAAAAAGAAAAAAATAAGACCTTTTTTTCGTGAGATCCCACATCGGTGGGAGAGTAGAACGAAACATTCTTTATAAGGGTGTGAAAACCTCTCCTTAGCAAACTCTTTTTAAAACCTCGAGTGAAAGCTCGGAAGGGAAAGCCCAAAGAGGACAATATTTGCTAGCAGTGGGCTTGAGCTTGGGCTGTTACAAATGGTATCAGAGCAAGACAAGGGGCGATGTACTAGCGAGGAGGCTGAACCCCGAAGGGGGGAGGACACCAGACGGTGTTAGCGAGGATGTTGGGTTCCGAAGGGGGTGGATTGTGAGATCTCACATTGGTTAGAGAGGAGAACGAAGTATTCTTTATAAGAGTGGCAACCTTTCCCTAGTAGACGTGTTTTAAAACCTTGAGGGGAAGCCCAGAAGGTAAAACCCAAGGAGGACGCCTAAAGAGAACAATATCTGCTAGCGGTGTGCTTGGCCATTACATTTTTTCTTTCCTGTCTTTGATGAACAGTTTTTTAATTGTAATCAATTGTTTGGTCTCCTCATTTCACGCTCGTTTACAGATTATAGTTGCTACTCCTGGTAGATTGCTGGACCATGTTGAGAATAGGTCTGGCTTGTCTGTGCGACTGATGGGATTGACAATGCTTATTCTTGATGAAGCTGACCTGTTATTGGACTTGGGATTTCGGAAGGACATTGAGAAAATTGTTGACTGCTTGCCCCGCCGAAGGCAGTCCCTGATGTTCTCTGCAACTATTCCAAGGGAGGTGAGGTCATTTTCTCTTCTTTATACAAATTCGGGAAGCAGTCATCTTTATTTTAAATCTCTTCATGAATCTTGGTTATGATTATGGACTTGCAGGTCCGGCGGATATCTCAGCTAGTTTTGAAAAGGGAACATGTCTTTGTTGATACTGTGGGCCTTGGTTGTGTGGAAACTCCTACTCAGGTAAACAAGATCAAACGTTTTTTTTTAAGAAACTAAAAAACATCAATCGTTTTCTTCTGCAATAAGAACGGTAGAAAAAAGCTTAATTTTCCCGAATGCAGGTCAGGCAGTCGTGTCTTATAGCACCACATGAATCGCATTTTCAAATTGTATGCCATCTTTTGAAGGAACATATCTCGTGCACTCCCGAATACAAGGTCGATCGAATAGTTTATATTTGCCTCCTTCTCTCTTTCTATTTCTATGACATGCTTGTATTCATCTACTTATAGAGGTTAGACTGACCTCTTACTTTCACTCAGGTTATAGTTTTCTGTACAACAGGGATGGTAACATCACTCTTCTACGTGCTTTTCCGGGAAATGAAAATGAACGTCAGAGAGATGCACGCCAGGAAGCCTCAACTTTATCGAACACGTATCTCCGATGAATTCAAACTGTCAAAACGGCTCATTCTTGTTACATCTGATGTTTCATCTCGTGGTATGAATTACCCTGACGTTACCTTGGTCATACAGGTACAATGAAGAACTGATGATAAATTATTTTGGTTTTCTTGCTTGAATGAACGGCTTTTCCATAACTTTTGGATTAGTTGTACATTACTAAATGTCGCTTTTACTTCGAAATTCCTGAAAACCTTATGCCATATGAACGACTTTTCCCTGTAGTAATCGTTTACTTAGTAGGGTCTATTCCATCATTACTGCAGAAAAGATCTATTATATACCTTATTGAAGCTTATTTTCTTAATTATTTCCAGCAAAAGCTCATAATTATGGGAACATGCAGGTGGGCATACCATTTGACAGGGAGCAATATATACATCGTCTTGGACGAACAGGACGTGAAGGCAAAGAAGGTCAAGGTATCTTGTTGATTGCACCATGGGAGGAATATTTCCTGGATGCGTTAAAAGATCTGCCTCTTGAAAGATGCCCTCTGCCCCAGTTGGATTCAGGCTTAAAGCTAAAGGTTTTTGTTTAAAGCAATCAATATCTTTTTTCATCTTAGCTTTGGTAGATTACATCAGTTAGTAAAAATTCATCAAGTCTTTAAAATAGAAGATGATGACATTCAAGTTTTGGAGTCTCATAAGGAAATATAAACATGAACCATGAACAAAAACTCGTGCACGTTCATGTCGGATATATGATATGAATGGTTGTTCTTGCAGGTAGAGGAATCAATGGCAAAGGTTGATACCTCCATCAAAGAAGGTGCATATCATGCATGGCTAGGTTATTACAACTCAATCAGAGAAATTGGCAGGGATAAAACCACTCTGGTTCAGCTTGGCAAACAATTCTCCGAGTCAATTGGTCTTCAAAAGCCACCTGCTCTTTTCAGGAAGACAGCCCTAAAGATGGGTTTGAAAGATATACCCGGCATAAAAATTCGGAAGTAGTTTTTGCACGGTACGAACATCAATTTCGTGTTCGTTTATCACACATAATCAGGAAAGGAATGAGAATATTTCTTGACACCCAAGGTACACATTCAAACAGAAGTGCAAGATCTAAGTCATTTTGCCCATATGCGTGCAGGTTCGTTTATCTTAATCATCGACGTGCTTCAATCATTTTTTTTTACCTTGCCTTTATACTTCATAAGCATTTTTGCCATTTAATTTAGACAAGTAGCTGAAAACTGATGAGTAGTTGTTCCTTACTAAAATTGAAGTTGAAGCTCTAATGTAAATCAATATAATTGAATCCCATAGCTACTTTATGTATATTGTTCTTCTTTTGTACTCCAAACCTTTCTGTATTACTTAATGAAAAGTGCAAGAAATGGACTGCTTTAAACAAGCTGGAGATTCAAGAACTTTTTAGTACATCATATACGCGTAGTATGAGCTTTGAACATTTGTCTTCTTCGTAGGAATGTATATCAAGCTGAGTTGTCGTGCCACGTGACAGTTAACTATCTCAATGTGATTGATCTCGATGTGTGAATGGATTGTTCGATTGATCTCGACGTGTGAATGGATTGTGTATGAACTCTTTAGATTTCCCATTGAATCCACTCCTTTTGCCTTCATTTTCAATTCAAATATCAATATGTTTCGTTGTAATTTCTTGGTGAAGACCACCACATTTGGATTTTTATGGGCCTCAATTATTGGAACATATATAGTATTATATGATTGTGACAAAAGGGTAAATACGACATTTCCAACTTCCATATATTTTAACTTATCCTATATGCTATTGTATTTAATCAATTATCATTTTGCTAATACCCTCAAATAGGTTTTTTACAGAAAAGGGTAAAATTACTAAAGTACCCCTGTATGGTATGATCTTTTCAAGTTACTTACGAAAGATGTTGCGTGTGGGGTTTGGTAGGAAGGATTCTTGTTGTAATTTTGTATTTATTTTATATTATATTGTGTTTAATTCCAAAAATAAAAAAAGATAATTTATTAAATGTTTGAATAAAAATGAAAAGTATATAATGGATTTTATTTAAATTTACAAGAAAGCCATGAGAATAAAATCCCATTGTTTATAATTAATAATAATAATAAAACAAAGACCCAATTTCAAACCCCAATAAGGACTGTTAACCTCCCTTGTTTGGTGATGGCTGTCATGAAATTATTAATCCTTTTTCTTTGCCTAAATTTCAAACAAATCTGCCCATTCTACATTAATCATTGTACTTAGACTTCCTAATTGTTATTTTAAAAACTATAGTATTATAAATTCAATGGAAAATACACCATTAGGTTGAAAGTCATACTGTTGTTATCGAAACTAGATATCTACGATAGGCCAAGTGTCACAATCGCACTCTTGCGGTAGCAAGACAACTATTGTACAACACTTGTCTCTATTTAGCAAACAAGTCAGCTGTGTGAAAATTAAAATTTGCGGGCAATTCAGACGTATGATAGAAAATGTTTTATAAAACATGAATAGGGAAATGTGTTGAAAACCATGTGAAAGAAGACAAACGAATGAACAACAACAATTTTGATAGCATATAACATCGTAGAAAGAATTGACAACTAGTTACATCCCCTTGTAATACATTTTAGGGCATTTTAACTCTGGTGGATGTAGACATGATTTTAGCATATTATGAACAGTAAAGACCTAACTACAAATGAAAGCAAGTAAAAGAGTTTGAAACAAACATACGACCATGACCAACATGTCATAGACAAGTATGATTGGAACGTTCGAAACATGTCCACAGAGAAAACGCCTTGAACCAGTATTAATTTGTTTAAATGAGGGGCTTAAAAGTAATTTTGAATAAAGATAAATATGAGTCACAATTAAATAAATTCAAAATCTCTACGTTGTAAAAGTCAAATTTGAAGCATAATTGAGATCAAAGGAAAATCTTTTAGTCAAAGGTTGGAAAACGACACAGTTTCAAATGGAACATTGAAAATTAAAAAAAAAAGTTGACTTGGAAATTATTAAAATATTACTGAAATATATTTTATGTTCATGTGGTAAGTAAAAGTTATATATAAAAAATTTACATCAATTTTTTAGGAAAAATAATTTCAAACTAATAATTCTCGTGTATTATTATTATTTGTATTTGAAAAATTATGTATTAATTATTTTAAAATAAAATTTTAATTGAGAGTTTAAATTAATTTATTCAAAAAAATTTAAAATTTAATATATTTTCCTTAAATATATATAATTTTTTATTAAAAAAATTAGAAGTAAATTATTATCAAATGGGGGCTTAATTTCAATTAGGCCAAATTATTTAACTTTTATTTTATTTTCCCAAAAAAAATAAAATTTTAATTTTGGTGTTTTGTGGAGGAGCACGTGGGACATGTGTGGCACTTTCCAAGTACCAAGCATCTAATTGGATGACACGTGTCAACCTTTTTTACCAACCAAACTTATATTAATTTTATTTAACTGAAAATATTTCAACCAAAAATGGGAAAATAAGACATCCAATTGAATTTGTCAACGCCCACCATATTTTCAGCAAGAATAAAAATAAAATGTGAATTTTACAAGTGGAATTTTTGAAATGACCAACTTACCCTCCACTTTTCCCGTTATATTATTTTCCATCCCGGGTTAATTTTAACTACTTAATATTAGTTTCAATTATACCTTTAAATTTAAAATTTAGGGTTCGGATAGACGACAATTGTCCTAGGAAAAAACTACAACATGTACGATTCATAAATACGCTACGGGTTTAGATTTGTCCTAGGAACAATCTTTTGACACAATCTATAGTGTTGTTTTAAAATAAGTTATATCCCAATACGGGTATTTGGTGTTCCATCTCGAGTTTAGTCTCAAAGGGGTCGGTCGGGTAATTTTTTTTTTTCCTTTTAGATTCATCGAGCTCAAATTAACGAGCATTAGTAATTCACTCTCACAACATTACAAAACATTCTTCAGATCGACTAAAACCAATATCAATATAAACGTAGTGTTTTGTATGTAAATGGTTAGAAACTCAAATCTCTATCGTGATAGATCGAGAAACGACACTAGGTCGAAGTAAATCCATGAAAATGAAAGGGCAATTTAGTCAAATTCCACGACACAAAACAATTAAGAAAGAGATTTTGGATCCACACTTCATCACAAGCTGTCGGCTTTCCTTAATAAATCTCTTGATTCCTTCACTTCTTCCTCAAAGGCCTCTCTCTCTCTCTCTCTCTCTCTCTCTCTCTCTCACAAATAATGGCTTCTCAAAACCCCATTACCTCTCTCTCTCTCTTCCTCTTCATAATTCTCCTCACCACCACCGCCCCTCTCTCCGCCGGCCGCCGCCTCTCCACCGCCGAACAACACCCGGAAAATGATTCTCTCCCTCCACCCACCACCTCATTCTCATTCATACAGCCGCCAACCACCGTGGAAAACCAAGCCGCTTCCCAAAACTACGCCGTGTCACACCGCAAAGTCCCCGCCGGTCCCAACCCACTTCATAACTAAACCGATCAGCGTCGGATCTCGAAAGGTTCAAACTTTTTGCAGTCTCTTATAGCTTTCTTTTTTATTTTATAAACATGTATGTGAATAGAGATAAAACGACAGCGTTTAATTGATTTTTGTGAAGAAATTTATAGAAAATAAGATCCAGAATTCCGGCATGGCTGTTGTGTGTGAACTGAATGTTCTCAAGGCATACAAGAGATGTCAAAATATTAATTATAATTAACGTTGAATAAAAAATTATTTTATTTTTTTAATTCTTCTTTATTATTTACAAATAAATATCATTTAATGCAATTGCCATTTTAGTCGTAATAAAACCACTAAATAAAGCTACGTACACTCATCTTCATATAAACCCATTATATCATTTTCCTTATGAATGGTATATATATAGACAACACCGAACTCAATTACTAGAGTTGCGCGCGATTCATTTTCTGGTCGAGCAGCCAGAAGACTTTTTGAAAATTGCCAATCGTTAGATTCTTGATCGGGAGGTCTTTCGTATCTTTCAAGATCCACCCAACTATGTCAAAAAGCCAAAATCAACGTCATATTTAAGGGGGTTGAGGGGTTTCGAGTGCCATTTTTTAAAAACTTAGATTTGAACGAATATATATAAATATATATGTTAAATTTTGACAATAAATTTTTATAATTTTAGTTTGGTGTCTAATAAATTCATTTTAAAATCGGGTTATTTTTAATGTGAACATAAAATAATTATGGATGAAAGAAGAGCAATGGAATTTAAGGCAACCACCGACCTGCCTTTATTTAATTATGGCAATGAAGAAAAGTTGTTAGTTATGTTCCCTTTGGGGATGGAAGGTCAAACCACACAACAATGCCAACCTTTTCTTCACCTTATTATAAATTTTATATTACCAACTACCCCTAACTTTCGATCATGTAATGTATGTCCAACATTCATTCGACATCTGATGATTCTGACATTCTTCTGCTACATGGTCATACTACATTCTTCGTTCCTAATACCCGAACTCACGAGGACGAACGATGATGGAGTGGTGGTGGGGCGGTTGTTGTTACATATATGAGGACTGCTTCCATCCACCATAGTCTTCTTCTTCCATTTGGTAATTTCTTGCACTTCTTTCCTGTGGAAGAGAATACCCTTTGTCTGTATAAGTGAAAAGCTCACTATTTTATGTGATGGTAGAAGAGACCCACCAACCTCAGGAGCAAAATTAAGGCCAACTTTGATCTCTCCGCAGTATTGTTCATCCTTCACCACGTTGTATACCGTTGCTGGCAAGCTTCGTTCATGGTAAACAGGATCCAAAGGAATTCTGCAAATAATATACCCTAAACGCCCTAAGTCACTGTTACCGGATATAGTCCTCTTCTGGCTTTGTCTTTCAAGTTTCTCTTCAATGTTTCGTTTCTCTCTCCAACTAAAATGGAATCTCACAATCCACCCCCTTGTTGGTCTAGTGTCTTCGGTGGCACACCGTCTGATGTATTGTTGCTTTCTTTTTTGGGCTTTAAAACGGTTTGTTAGGGGAGGTTTCCATGACCCTAATAGGAAATAATGTTTCGTTCCCGTCTCCAACCGACATGAGATCACACAATCTACCCCCTTCGAAGCCCGACGTCCTCGCACACCGCCTAATGTATGGATCTGATACCATTTGTAACAGCCCAAACCAAACACTATCAGATATTGTCCTCTTTAAGTTTGCTTTCTCTTTTGGGCTTCATTTCAAAATTTTAAAACACGTTTTGGAGAGGTTTTCACAAGCCTTATAAGGAATGTTTCGGTCCTCTCTTCAATTGAGGTGGGATCTCACAATCCACCCCCTTGGAGTTAGTGTCCTCGATGACCCACCGCCCGGTGTATGACTCTAATACCATTTGTAACAGTCCGAGTCTATTGCTAGCAAATATTGTCCTCTTTGGATTTTCTCTCTCAAGCTTCCCTCAAGGTTTTAAAACGCGTTTGTTCTCTCGGGCTTTTTCTTTCAAGTTTCCCCTAAAACACATTTTTTATGTTCTCTCGGGCTTTTTCTTTTGAGTTTCCCCTAAAACACATTTTTTAGGGGAGGTTTCCACAACCCTAATAATGAATGTTTCGCTCCTCTCTCCAAACGACATGAGATCTCACAATCCACCCCTTTAGGGCGTAACATCCTCGCTGGCACACCGTCCAGATCTGATACTATTTGTAACAACTGAAGCCCAATCCTAATAGATATTGTCCTCTAAACGAGTAGATACCATTCGTTTTCCTCTCTAACCGACCTGGGATCTCACATGTTTACGGAGACAAATTAAGAAGCATTTTACATACCTTACTCTACCAACTAAATCATCTTGCGTGCCAGTGTCGCTGTCCATTATCTTCAAATTGAGCTCTTTTGCACCTTCAGATATACTGAATATAAAAGTCTCGTTCCATTCAGGGTTCGATCCCTTTCCTGTACGCAATCAACAACGTTTAAACCACTTAAAAAAAAGTTACCAAAATTGTACAACATAAACCAACCTGAAGCAATGCTGCTTTTCTGCTCCTGTGAACGGCAAGTAAGAACAACGTAAGGATCCATGTTACCTGATCAAATCAAAATAACAATCATAATGATTAATAAACACCAAAATGGCTGAAAAATGGAACCGAAATTAAAAACGATCCCGAAAGGAAGCGGGAATTTACATAGATAATCCGTGTTTTCGAGTCCCTTGGCCGAAATAAGAAGAACTTCAAGAGTTCCAACTGGCATTTTTCAGGATGATGAAAAGAAGAGGTTTGAAAGAAAGATATCCCAAATTGTGTTTCTGTAAGAGAATTGTTTGTTCAAATATATATATATATATATATATATATATATATAGGTGTCAGGAAAGGATCTAACGAGATGAACCGGCAATGCTTGGCCATAAAAGTAGAAATTAGACCCCATCTTGCGGTGATTTGTCATTTGTTGAAAGTCTTTCCTTTGTTGATTGGTTGACAAATTTTTTTTAAGAATTAGATTATAAATTTTTTCAACAATCATTATGTTTGGTCATAAATAATCGAGAAAAAAATTCTTAAGTAGAAATCGCATTCTTGATGGCAGCGGACTTGCGATTGTACAGCGCTCACTTTCCAACGACAAGTGAGCTAAACCAATTTGTTCTTACGTCGCCTACGGCCAAACGACGTATGCTCGAGCCTTTGATATCGGTTTAAGAATAAGGTTTTAGAAAATGAGAGCAGAGAGAGATTTTCGAAGAGGGATTTTGAAAAAGACGTTATATATGCAAGCAAGAGAGTAACAACATCGACTCCCAGTATATACCTATTAATAGAGAGATTTAAGTAGAAATTTTCTCAAAATGTATGTGATTCGAAAATTCACTTGAACTTAAATCTGAAGAATGTTTGGACCGGTCGATAATAATGACTTATAAGATATAAGTAAAAATTTATTTACAATATTGTGGTAAATAAGAAGAGAGTTCAGGTGAAACACCACCACCGATGTTGATCGACATCATATAGAGTTCATTATTTAGTAAATTGGTGAGGATAATTTCTCAAATATATATTTAGAACCGAGCAAGTGTAAGAGGAACACGATTATGAATTGGGTCTGGACCCCTGGAACTATCTGTAGAGATCTTCCAAAAAAATCAACACCACCCATCTTCATTTCGGTGAATATTCTCCCAAAATGTAGGTAAAACAAGCTTTGGTCAGAAGCGACCACGGGAGAGTGGGTGACAACGATGAGAAGTCCAATGAAGATGACCAAATGATGGGTCGCCATGAATTCCAATTATTACTGACCAGAGCTATTTAGCAGAAGAAAATAGATAAATAATATTAAAAAATATTTATAAAGAAAATATTACTAACCAAACTCTTCTTATTTGTTATAAATAGCTTTTAAACGTCTTAGCCAGTATATACATAATATGATACCATATTTTTATTCTATTAGAATAATATTTATGTTTCGCACAATTTCTAATACTATATTTATATAAAATTTTAATGTGGGTATTAAAATTTTTGAAAAATATTAACATATAAAATTGAACAACGACGGTATAATTCTATTAATGATCAACCCAATAAAAAGAGATTAAAAAAGTTTTTGTGAAAAAACATATTAACATTTATTAATATTATAATGAGTTAATTATTTAGTAAAGTGGTAAGGATAATTTTGTAAATATATATTTAGAGCGGAGTAGATGGTAGAGGAACTTAATTATGAATGACGTTTGGACATGTTGGAATACTATGTAGAGAACCTCGAAGAACATCAACATCATCTATCCGTGTCTCTTTCACCGATCTCATCTCATTAATTACTCCCAAAACATTGAAAAGATCAAGTTTTTGGTTTGAAGTGGCCGTTGAAACATGGCTAATGATGATGATGAAAAGTCCATTGAAGATGACAAAATGAAAGTTGAAATGAGTTGTCGAAAATTCGAGTATAAGAATCAAACGAGATTTTCGTAGAAGAAAACGGATAATGAATATTATAACGAGGTTATTGAAGTATTTATAGGGAAATTAGGGGACATATTACGTAAAGAAGTAGGCTCCCTTCCCTTCATCATTTTAAATAAGTTAGCTATTTTTTTCATAAAAAATCGATGTATTTAAAATTAAATAGAAAACCGTATACTAAAATAACATATATCTTTCGTATATATAATATTTATGAATCTAAAATTTAATACATATTATTATACTTATTAATAAATGAAAATTAAATTAAAATTTAAGACATATTATTCCTTTATTAATAAATTGTGATAATGGTATAAAATTTAAAAATATATTTAGAAGTAGACTTGAACTATTACAGGTCTGACCGGCTTGTCGGAACTTAATTCAGAGAACTACAAAAAAAACATCACTCTTTTAGAACACCGATGATAAGAGCTTATAAGATATAACATTTATCAAATATAAAATTAAACGGGAGAAAAGAAAGGTTTCCCCGAAACAACACCATCAATTTTTATTAATATAATATCATAGAATTCATCCTTTAATAAATGGGTGAGAATGATTTAGAAAATGGGAGAGGAACTTGATTATGAATTGAGTTTTATCTCTCCGAAAGTTCGTGTAGAAGCCTTCGAAAAAATCTACACCACCCGTTTTCATTTCGGTGGATATACCCTAAAATGTCGATAAAACAAGCTTTGGTCAGAAGCAGCCACCGAAGTGTGAGTGACGACGATAAGAAGTCCGATGAAGATGACGAGATGAAAATTCAGATGATGAGTTGTTATTAATATTTTAGCGGTTATTTTCCATAAATAATTTTTTTTTTCTATTTTGTTGGCCTTTAATTGATTACTTAATTTGAATATTATTTAAAAGATCTAACTTTTTTTCGGTCAACTAATTTTTTTTAAATACCCTCTATTCTCAATTGTCTTAATTTATTATTATTATTATTATTAAAACGCTCCTATATTTAACTCAATGCGACAAATTTTAATAAAAAAATAATGATAATGAAAAAATAATAAGTTAATATAAAAATAATTACAAAAATAAATAGTAAATAAGTAAAAAAAGAAATTGATGAAACATAAGAAAATAATCATATTGATGTCGTAATGCATAGTATAATTTTTAATGAATGAAATTAAATTAAAATTTAAAACATATTATTATTTTATAAATAAATTATTATAATGGTATAAGATTGATATAAGATTTAGAATTTTACCTTATTTATCATGATTTATTCGACCCAACCCGATATTCAATTTTTAAAATAGGGATAGGACTAAATATTTAACATTAAAAATTTATTTCCTAAATATTTAACATTTAAAATTTATATAATTTTATTAAAATAATTTATGTGAGAATAATTCTAAACATTTATTACCCACCAAAAACCTAAATTTTAAGGAAAATTAAATTAACATTTAATTAATTAAAATTAAAACCTAAATTTTAAGGAAAATTAAATTAACATTTAATTAGTTAAAATTAAATTAATAAAAGTAAGATCGTTAAAAATTATTAAATATATAAAATTAAAGAACGTAATAGAGTGTTGAAAATATAATAACAGTTAGCGTGTATTATAGACTTATAGTTGATATAATCAATACAAAAAATACTCTGAGACTTGGGTCGATTCGCTGATGGTACAATTAGTTAATGTATTATATAATTAAAATGTTCGAAATTCAAAAATTCACTTCCTAACCATTCATTATCGCTTTTATATATATTAAATATATTTCTATGAACCATTTAGTTGAGAAAATCAAAAAGAAAAAAGAGAGTTTTGGCAATACGAGCTATGTTTATTAATCTCATGAGTTATTTATTTAGTAAAGTTGTCGGGATAAGTTTGTAAATAAATATTTAAAGTCGAGTATATGTAAGAGGAGTGTAAATAAATATTTAAAGTGGAGTATATGGAAGATGAGCTTAATTATGAAGAGCATATTTTGAGATCTCACATCAATTAGAGCGGGGATAAATAGAAGAGAACCACCAAAAACATCTGCTATCTCACAACACCAATGATAATGTTAAGGATATTTAGTAATAAATTATAGTTTACCATATATATTATATTTGATATTTTATTATAAGACAAATATCAGATATTTGCTTATTACCATAGGTATCTTTCCATTTATTGTTATTTCAATTTATTACTATTTCCATACTACGCGTATATGATGTTTATTTGATTATAAATAAGATAACTTTCACACCATTTAGGTGTGGTGGATTCAGCAAACATTCACAGATAAGATATAAAATTTATCAAATATAAAATTGAACAGAGAAAAAAAAGAGGGTTTCCATGAAACAACACCACCAATTTTTTTAATATAATATCATAAATAAGGGTGGGATCACGACTTAATAAGATATAAATTGAACCATGACAATAAATTTTTATTAGCAATACTGTGGTAAATAAGAAGAGAGTATAGGTGAACCAACACCACCACCAATGTTGATTGACATCTTAAAGAGTTCATTATTTAGTAAATTATTGAGGATAATTTCTCAAATATATATTTAGAACCGAGCAGGTGTAAGAGGAACACCGTTATGAATTGGGTTTGGACCCCCTGGAACTACGGGTAGAGATCTTCCAAAAAAATCAACACCACCCGTCTTCATCTCTGTGGATATTCCCCCAAAACGTCTATAAAACAAGCTCTGGTCAGAAGTGACTATCGGAGCGTGAGTAACGACCATGAGAAGTCCGATGAAGATGACCAAATGATGAGCCGCCATGAATTCCAATTATCAGAAACCAAAAGTATTTAGTAGAAGAAAATAGATAATGACATTACCTAGACAATATTCAAGATATTTATAGATAAAATAATTAATTTCTGAATCAACAAAATCAACCAAATCTTTTTCTAATAAGTTTAAATATCTTAGTTGTTGTATCTGAGTTGTTATGTATACATGAACCTTACTAACATGATACATATTTTTATCTTATTATAGAATAATATATATATATTATAAATTGCATAGTTTTTAATACTATATTTATATAAAATTTTAATGTGGAGATTAAAAATTTTCTATTAAAAATTTTAGAAAATATTTAATTAATACAATTGAGTAATAAAAATTTATAAGATATAAAATTGAACCTAAACTGGTATAATTCTATTAAGAACCAATCCAATAAGAAAAGAGAAAAAAACATGTTATTGAAGTATTTATAGAGGAATTAGGGGACATATTAAGTAAAGGAGTAGACTCTGGTTGAATTCTGGGTGTT